TATCTCTTGCTTTCGAGAGAGATGTTTTTCTTGCAAAAGTCGCAAAAGTCACTGGGTTTGACGCTTATATAAATGTGTCCCAAATATCACCAAAATCTGGGCCTACAAAGGCTGAGAGAGAACGCCAATGTTAGTTTTAACAAAATGAAAAGACTGGTGCGCTCATTTTGTCTCAAACATTGCCTTTTGTTGTGTTGTTTATGTTTGTATTTTGTGTGTGTGCGCGTTGTTTTAAGATGTTGTTGGTTGTTAATACAAGTTGTGCTATTTAATTCCCATGTAGCACATCAGACACTCTTGATACGTGGTATAGTCTTTATTCGATAGATGTCATTTCTGGCGCGGTTGCATATAAGGTGCTGATGCTGATGTCGGGATTGGTAACACAGCAGGTAATTCAACAATCAAAGGAGCACAAAATTGCACAAATGAACTCACTGTTAATGGTGCCTCTTATTTAGGTGGCAGTGTTACTTCTACAGGTAATATCACTATACTCAACGAGAGCAGGGTTACTTTTGGTAATAGACATTGTGTAAGAAGAATGATGGAGCAAGTGAGAGACTGGCATTTCATGCTGGTGGTGGTAGTCATAGTTGCAGATCTATTTTAGGCAATGAGTTGATAGAAAGCAGCAGGATAATAGGCATTCAGCAGGTAATCTTCTTGTTAGAGGCACTGTTCACGCTCACAAATCTTGGCGCAGTGCAAAAAGCAATGGCGGCAATGGCGTTGACATTCATTGCATGCTCAAGAGGAACAATGAAGAGTTTATAAAATTTATATATGAGGTTTAACACTGATGGAATTTACAAATTGAGTATGAAATTATGTACCTAAATTGATGTATTTTACTGGTGGTGAAGGGACAAGTAGAGTACGAAGCAGTTGGACAATTTGGAATGACAGCGCTACTAATGCTCCTAAAACAATCTTAGGAGCAGGGGCAGATGCTAATATGTTATTGATGAGATGAATACAGATGACCGCAAAAAATGCAGGGAACCCTTTTGGCTCCCTTTTGAGGGCGTGTTTGCTTTCAAAAAGGGCATCTAAAACTACATCCACCGAAGTCAAATAAGCAAGAAATTAAACAGAACAGGGGACCACCAGAGTGCGTATTTTCTATGTTTTTGCTGCCTACTTTCATCTATGTGCTATAAACTTCCCACTGTGGCCTGCATTCATGCTATGTGTCTGTGAAAGCTGCCTCAATGTCCTTTGCACTGGAAAACAAACACAAACAGTCTTGAGAAAATTTAGAGAAAACCAATACAACCTAGGAAAAGCCAAAAAACCTTGGGAAAACCAAAAGAACAAAAAAAAACAAAAATAAAACATTCTCAGAGACTCTTGGCTGGACCCCCCCCTTTCCTCAAGACTTCCCCAGAATTGTTTTGTTTTTTGGTCTTTGTTGGTTCTTTTGTTTTCTTGGTTTTCCCAAGGTTTTTTGTTTTTTTTGCTTTTCCTAGGTTGTTATTGGTTTTCTCAAGTTTTTTTGTTTTCTGGGGGTTTTCCTATTTAGGTCAATATGTGTTCTTACTATTTCGTTCAACCTTCAAGTATGTGAGCCTAAGTCTCACCTTACAATGAAAGCGTCTGAGCCCACCACTCCCTTGTCCTTGTCGAAATCTCCATGTACAAGTCTGTGTATTAACTTCTGATTGGTATCAATGTGGTTGCCAATTGCATGTCCAATCAGCTTGACATGAAACTGTAATGATACCTTCCAATTTACATGAAATTGTTATGAATCTGTGTAAGCTGTAGTTCTAATCCAATGCTTGTTGCTTTTGCTTCGGCTTTGTAATTTCGAAGCCTCCTCGACTTGTGCATCTTGTAGCTCAAGCGTTTTACATCTTATTCTGGCGAACTTCTAATTTTACTTCCAATTCCTTTCTATATATTTCAACTCTCATCTAATTTTAAATAGGTTATAGTTATAGTTCAATACAAGTTTAGTTGAAATTCGGTTTTAATTAAGTTCTATCTTAGCTCTAACTCAAATCCAATTTAATTCTACCTAATTCTATTCTAGCTCTAGTCTATTTAGTTTAAGAAAACGCATGCTGTTTTACAGTATTTTCTTGCCCTGGGAGTGCTGGGAACAAGACTAAAACTCTTTTTTGAAGTAACTAGTTAGATTTTGTTTATTTACAGTAATCACTGGAAATAATATGGACATATTAAACTTGTTTTATGTACAAGCTTCTAATTCAAGAGCTTCCCTCTAGATCTCTGTGGATGATCATTTCTACAATAAAAATATGTAAAAGCTTTCATTTCAAAAGCTTTCCTCTGGATCTCTGGAAATGATCATGTCAATTTAAACATGCCAAACATCAATAAATATTTTTCTTTCAAGAGCTTTCATTTCATGAAAAAAACACATATATGGGACATCTACTTTCCCAGAGATCCAGAGGAAAACTTTGAAAATGCAAGCTCTTACCCGCAGAAATCTAGAATAACGCTTTTAACATACAAGGTTTCTATATAGTTGTTTAAATCTAAAAATGATTATCTGCAGAGATCTATAGAGAATATTGTGTAACATAAACGCGTCTATGTAAAATCTTTCCAAATCTAAACATAACTATAAGCAGAGATCTAGAGACACTTTTATGGCCTGCTTCTTTCCTAATTAGTTTGTTCAAAACCATCTGAATGACTGCTTGCTGCGTCCAAAGCAATAAAATTACCCTGATTCAGGAATACATAATATATGTGTTCATATAGAGAGGGCAGGAATAGATTATATATATGGGTGTTTATATGGAGAGGGGCTACCACTGAAGCATTTACCTAAAATTTTGGGAAAACCAAAACCCAGGCCCCATGTTAGAGTAGAGTGGTATCTTTTGCCCTGGAGTGAAAACAAACATCTTTGCATATCTTGAGCATCAACTGATACCAAACACTTTTAAAAAAACAATTAAAAAACTGCACTCTCGCAGTCCCCTGCTCTCAAATTAAAGCAGTATCATTATGATAATTGGCACAATTGTTAGTTATTTGCATACACACACACACATATATATATATATGTGTGTGTTTCCCTCGTCATGGCACATTCATATTGGGCAGATAAAGATTGAGCTGATAATTGCTCTCCCAGGCACACCCGCCCTATTATGTTTTTATATTGTTTGTGGTGTGTTCGGTGCGTGGTTATGATGGCATGGTGGCTTGTTGCTTGTTCCTTCAACGTGTTTTGACTTGTAAACCACATTGTACTCGCAGACTGTCCGCTTCACCAGATCGGGTCTTTGGGAAGCTGCTGTGCTCGTTGTGGCTTCTTCGTGCTGGGGCCTTGGGGGACCATCCGAAAGCCAGAGGAGTGTTGAGTGTTGAAATGTTTTGAAACGACTCTATGAGTGTACGGTGTAGTCACATAGTTATTTGATGTTATTTGTCTATACGACTCTACGAGTTGTGGGGCCGTTGGCCATAGGAGTGACCTCTTCCACCCAAGCACCGAGCTGCATGGTCACATGGCAGAGGACAGAGGGAGATTCGTGCCTTTTTGCCAACTTGTTTAATTCTCAGTCTCCCTCGGTGGTGCCTCCGCTGCATCGAGTCTTATCCGGTGTTGGAGGTCATTGCATCGACTGTCAAAGTTGAGCACTGTTCGAAGAAGGCCGCTGCCGGGTGTCGTGTGAGTTGCTAAGAAGCATTTTCCTACAGTTTCTCGGGGTCCTGAACATGCAACATGCCAGGATTGCAAAGAGACTTGCTCAGGTGGGTCCTGGGCCACTGCATCTCCTGAACTTGTGACCTCAGTTTGGACAGTTTGTTGGCAAGGTGAGAACAATGAGCTCATCAACCAATCTCCGGCCAAAACCCAGCATGCTGGCGGCAATAGATCGGTTTGTCTCTTGTATTGTATATTCTGTGAGGGGGTGGGCCATAAATTTCAACGTACATCTATATATATATATATGTATATATATAATTGCATACTGTGTATATGTATATATATATATATGTGTGTGTGTATTATTACACAAGCTATTTCGTAATATGTGAAATAATGTTGGTCCCTGTCCTTCACCCTATTGCAGCGAGGTCAACTGGCAGTTTTTCAATATGCTAGGACTGTGACACCGTGTCGCAATTGCACACGAGCGCAAGTGTGTTGGCCTTTCAGGACAAGGATCGAATTCAGCTGCAGCTCCTCCTGGTGACAGCAGTGGCGCCTCAGGTTCTGCATCTCGCGCCAAACTTAGTAGTCAGCTTCGCTACCACGTGCTGAGTGGAGAGCTTTTAGACAAAGCTTAGACTTTGATTTGAACTGGCCGATGGGCAAAAGTCCCGCATAGAAAGGCCGTTCTTCCCTGTGGTATCGGATACGACCGTTTTGCGAATGAAAAAGGAAGCAAGAAACATCAAACTTGACGACGTCAAGTTGTTACAACCAAGACATTCTGAAGCTTTCATTGACCTGATGACTTGATGAGCCGCAATTATGCTATCATGCTGGAGTAGGCAGGGAGGATAGCGTGGGTTTGCCCAGCCGTTTCCCAAATGCCAAAGGACAAAAGCAGGACACTGAAGTCACTGATGTCCTTTCTCGTTCATTCTAACCAGATCCCAGATGCCAGGCACGTGAGAAGAGTTACTGTAGTTATTTGGCACCACCAGGAGATCTTTGACTACTGCTTTTGAGGAAGGTGCGCCTACAGAATCCCAACCAGCTGCTGGCTTTCAGAATATGTTATATAGATATATATATATATAGATTATGTTAGCAGAAGCCGGTGCTGCTGTTGACCGGCCAGCCAGTCATGTCCTTTGCCAGGGCTCATAGGTAATTTGCGGCAAGACGTGCAGCCTGACAGCCAGATGGCAATCAAATACAATAATTCAGCTATGGTTCATGGACATCGTGACATCAAATGCACATGTAATGCATGCAACACGTTTGGCACGTCATGGACAAAAAATACGAATAAAGTTTAGCTGAGTCTAGCTTGGCTACTTTAGTGTCCAGTCCCGCTATGCTGGCTCCGTCAGCTGAGGAAGCAACCGTGCCTTGCGAACGCATGTTCTATCATGTTCCATCGTGATGTCAAATAGATGTTCACCATATGTTGTGGGCTTGTCAGGAGTATTTGCAATGGTCGGTGTCCGCTCTCAAGAAGCATTTGCAAGCCCAAGGGGTTGTCACAACAGGCTGGAACCTTAGACCTTGAGAGGGGAGGTCCCTGAGGTTGAGGATGCGGACAGATTTGCAATTTTGTCGGCCTTTTTCCAGCACACAAGCTACTAGTAACATATATATATACATGGCATTACTACTAGTAGCTTTATGGAAGCTACTAGCAACAAGCACTATGCCACTTTGTTCTGAATCGTTGGCTCTCGGGCTCTCGAGGATCCAAATCCAATCTGGTGGATCGCTTGCTGGCGCTGTCTGAGCCGCTCAGCCCATTGTCGCCTGTGAAAAAGCCGAAGGAGACACTTGGAAACCAGACCGGCAACGGCTTTTGACCAAGTCTTGGAGCGCAAGAAACAACACTAGGTAGGTTAGGTCGGCCCTTGGGCTACAGGAATCTTAGTACAGATCACAAGGATGCTTTACAATGAGCAACTTGGGCCAGGCATTGCCAGCTGGTGAGTGTTTTTCCTTCTCAGGAGTGCAGTGCAAAGGCAGTGAAGCCTGCAAAGCCCGCTTCGCCGGCCAAGACCAAGCCTGCAACAAAGCTTGTCCGGTGCAGAGAGGCTTAGGACAAGTTCAATGTTGGAACAACATGACATGCGCAACTCTGAGAATACCCTATGTGGTTAGCCAGTCCGAGTGAGAGTGGACCAGTTGACGACTTAGGCAAAAACCTTGAAAGTTGGTAAAGCGAAGGCAAAGGCGAAAGCAAAGACAAAGTTTGTAAAGACCGGGAGGTGCCATGGTGGACCAATTGGGAATGGTGTGCTGCATTGATCATTGTGTTTTTCGTTTTCAGGGCCAAAGCTGCTGACGACCTTGGAGATCTTCACTCTCCTGTGGCAACGTCCAGACCTTTGCATCGCACCTGTGCAGTCTTTGCAAATTCAGTTGAGCTCGGCACTGTTTGATGTAACAGCTGTCTTGCAGGAGGTCAGAAAAATCAGCAAACGTTGAAATGCTTTCTCAGGTTGAACGGCTGTCTCCGAAAGGTGCCAAATGTAGACATTGGCAAGGCATCTGGAGCTTTTGCAGATGAGATTGTGGACTGCTGAGTGTGGTTGTTTGATGTTTTTAGTACTAAGTCACTAAGTAGTACTGTCAGTACTGTTCAAAGCCCTGCTCCGGCCAGGCTTTGTTGGGACCTGGTCCTTGCTTGCTGAAGGCTTTGCCCAAGACAGCAGCCCACAAGCTCAGAGCCTTGGCAAGGTACACCTACTAGCAGCTGAAGGTATTGTCAATTGGAGTTTTAATGACCGTTGGTCTATATGTTTAATTGGTTCGTTCATGTGCCTTCGTCGACTTTCGCTCAACGACGGAGGAAAAATGATGGAGGCACATGAGTTCGAGTGCGAGGCCTGCTAGTGCGATTGTTGCGCCGCTCGGTGGCCGAGATTGTCAGTTTCTTAGCGATTCTCCCGAGGCCTTGAAGCCCAGCAGCTTATCTGTGCAGCAGCGCTTAGCGATTCGTCTTTACACGGCAGAGGAAACTGCACAAAGATTCTTTTCTGAATCGGTTTCGGTAGAGTTAGAAGATGCTGAACCTTGGGGCAGAACACACCGAAGGCTCTTAAATGCTTTGAAGGAGCCTTTGCCGCTGTACAAAACCCTCAACGCACCCTTTCACGATGCCAAGCGGAGCCCGACCACAATTGCCAACCAGGCCAGAGCCTCCAAAGTTTTTTGCTGAGAGCATGTTAACGTCATGCATCAACTCAATTGTCCAAGGCACCATTTCTCAAAGTGATGGCGCAGGAGTGGTTATATGATCGAGGGATGTCTTGTTTAAACGCAGCTTAGACAATGCGTGGCGTAGCGGCGTAGCGATGAGCTGAGGCTGTGAGAGCATTGGCAAAAGCCGGGAAAGCTTTCAGCTACACCGGACCTGCCTATCGCGGCATCAAAGTAGCAAAGAGTCCTTTGCTGAAACGGAAGTATGAGAGCTGCCCTCAAGTGCGCTGTGTGGATAACACTTCAGGATCAAATCACCGTGCCTTCTGGTTTTACAACTTTTTTGGATAGTCCTTTCCTAATTGTTCCTGGCTTTTGCTTTGCTTTCGCTGTTGCTTGTGGTGGTGCGGCTCTTGGGCATTGGCAGAAAGCCGAGGAACTACGCAGAAGCATTCAAAGTTGGCAGCCGTTTGACCTTTGCAGCGTTCACAAGCCTTTCCCTCGCTGACAGCACAGCGGAAAGCTTTGGGGACCGCATCCTTTTCCAGGCCATTTGGCCGACACATACACGAATCTATCTGATGTCTTTACGAATCTATCTTTGCTTATTTTGCGGTCTTAACTGATGAACTAGCTCTCAGTGCTTGGCTTGGAGTCGTTTTCTTGTGGAGCTGCATCACTGCAAAGCTGGATGTTGCCAGTTTACTCGCGTTCGTGGAGTCCGCATTGCGGAGCTCAGCGCAATTCCTTCAGAGCTGGAGATCCTGGTGGAGCCGCCCGCAGTGTTCAAGGCGAAGATGTTTAGCAAGCGAAATATAGAGAAACAGCAAGTGCCATGTTAAGCCTCGCCTCGGAGAGGTTACAAGCTGCGCCAAATTCCATGGTGTTTTGTGCAGCCCTCGGAGGGGCATTTGGCCAGAGCTCTTGTGTTGAAGCCATAACCTGTCCACATCCGGCTGCCATGGTTCGCTGCGCAGGGTCAACCAAGACACTGAAGGGAGACACAAGAGAGAGAGAGAGAGAGCGCCAGAACCAGAGACAGAGACAGACACAGCAAAACAACGCAGTTTGATGTCTAAATTTATGGATAGTCTATCAGTTAGGAATGGCAAGCGATGCAACCGGCTGGAGCAAGAGCCACCCAAGTTGGCAGGCATTGCCGAGGCCCAACAGTTCACAACGGTGAAAATTGAACGCCCAGCAAGAGTCATATAAAACAAACAACAAGGTTCAGATTGATCCTTAAGTGAATCAAGCGCGTTCAAGCATCTCACAGCAAAAGCATAAGAATGGAAGGGAGAAGGCGAGAGAGTAACTAAAGGGTGGCGTTGGACAAAATGAACTTGTGGTGGAAATCAAGTTGACCGCGAGAAGGTCTTTGCGGGGAGAACGCACTGAAACAGGACATCGGAGATTGTTCACTGAGGAGTGTCGTGCTCGAGGCTGTTGAGTCTCCGTTGAAATATTTGTAGTCTCAGTGTAGTCACAGCCGCTTTTCACAAATTGGAACGTTGGGCAAGCCAACAGTCCGGTTTTCGATCAGATGCGACGAGTTAGGGAAAAAAGGCCGCGGTGTGCGATGGCACCGTTGTCGCGGTTCACCCACGCAGGCAGTGCAACTCCCACAGCATCGGCTTCGACTCCAAAGGGTCTCACACCGAGATCTAAAGAGCGTTTTTCCGGTGAACCGATCTCCGGAGATAGTGCCCCTTACCGAGGTTCTTTCTCGCGAGCCCAGACGCTTGGATCCATTCTGAAGAACACAGCACCATGGCCTAGAACGATCTAAAAGGGCCAGAGAAGCGGATCACGGTCACAGTTGAAACCCACACCTGCTACAACGTTTCCTCTGACTGAGACTCCATTTTTCACAGGGAATGATGAATGCACTAGTCAAAGCAATCGAGAAGGTTACCGTTATTGTTCCTTCTTTTGCACTATGTGTTGGTAGCTTTTCCTGCCACTCGTCACTACACTTGAAGTATAGTAGACCTGGATTTGGTTGCTAACTTGTATTTCAGCAGTTGAGAGTCCTTGAGAGTCCCGCCGTTGAGGTATTTCAGCCTTCATACCCAGCCGTCCTGAAAGTAACAGTTGACGGCAAGTTGGATTGCTCCGTCAAAGTTCAGGCCTGGTGAAAACTTGTGCTAGTCCCATGTTGAATTTCTGAAAGCTAAGCTACTGATCCAATGAAAGGTCGTGGGAGGCAAGGCAGAGGCGGGGCCTCACTTCAAGTGCGCTTTGCGAGGCCGTGTCAGCATAGTTGCAGATGTCAGGGCAATGGGCTACCACAAATTTGCGTTGCTGGCAAGCAGTCTCAACCTTGTATACTGAATTTAACCCTACCATCCACTACCACTATATATCAATTTTTCCCCATTGATGTGTTTGTTTGGTGCTGGTTTTTGAGGTCTACTGCAACCTATCTGTCATCTTCGGCCGGGGGCCAGCAGTTCTAGCAGTTGTAGTGTTACTTCTCCGGTCCGGGCAAAACCTCTGAGTTTTGTGAGGCTACCCGTGGGCCTATGACCAAAGGGTCCTTGATAATCGAGGCTACGGGTCAGTTGCGAGTTGTTTGGCCTCATGATGAGTTGTCGACTTCGCTGGAGCTTGCCTCACAGGGGTTCGATGCAGTGCCCTTCTGCGTGGCGCACAATGACCAGGGAACAACTTACGCAAAGCGCCCAGTTGGAGCGAGCCCTTTGGAGCTTTACGGGTCGCAAATGCTAAGACGCTGCGAAAAGAATGAAGTCTGAGACTTCCTGGAGACTTCGGGACATCAATGAACTGAGGTCCAAGGCAAAGGCAAATGGAGATGCACATCATTGAGCGCTCCCAGGCCCTTTGCGGCCTCCGTCAGGGAAGGCAACCGCAAAATGAGAAAAGTGACCAGACATGCGTAATTTTATGTGTTTTTGGTTTTATATAGTCGGAATGCGGTGGAGTCTTGCTGAGATAGGAGGCTCCTGCGACAGCGGTTGGGCGGTTGAGATTTGTTGAGTGTAATGTTGCACTTTCTTTGGTAGGTGGAACTGGCGTGAACAAGCACCCAAGCCAACAGAAGGCAGAGCGGCTGATCTTCAGGCCGAGTTGGACATCGCCAGTTGAACATGTTTCGGCGGCCACGTATTTAACCTCAAATCCCAGTGCCATACAGCACTCGGTTTCCACCTTAATGGCAGCTCCCTAGAGATGAATCAGTTTTAATTTTTGTGCATGCCAAACCTCGCATTTGCTGCTTTGAGGTGATTGCATCTAAGTCTGTCGACAATGTCCCTCAGCTCAAGGCCTGGCTTTGGGGCGAGAAGGTGAAACAGACGGCACGTGTATGCGATGCTCGTTGGTCTTGGAAAATCTGTAGCTATGTCTGAGTAAGATTACGTGAAGTGACTTCGTGGCTGAGACAGGTGTGCGTAAGAGATGCCACTGAAATGGAGCTCAAGCCTGAAGCTCGTCAAGCTCACCATTGCAGAACAACACAACCCTGGGAACAAAGAGGGAGTCAGAGGGTGCCACAGAGAGAGACAGAGACAGAGACAGAGAGAGAGAGAGAGCGAGAGCGAAGGAAGCAAGGAAGCAAGCAAGGAAGGATGGATGGAAGGAAGGATGGAAGGACAAACAGGAATTCTAATAACACACGCACATAATCACATATATATATATAACAACTATATAAAGAGCAGGGTGTCACCCACATGTGAAGCTTTTTGTGCTTGTAACAAGTGGAGGCGAAAGCGGATCAAAGGGGAATGATAGCGGCTGATAGCGGATGAGTGAGTGTGAGAATGAGAGTGACGGAGAGCGAATTGTGAGTGAGCGAGCGAGCGGGCGGGCGGGGAGTAAGAACCCCACACAAAGACGCGGGGAAACAAGGAAGGGAAAGGAAGGGGAACACGCTGGAAGCATGTGGAAACCAAGCTTTTCCAGAAGACCCCAAACCTACCTAGCAATTGTGGAGTTGAGCTGCTGAGGCGTTGTTTGCAGGGCCAAGCATTGCGCGATGCGCAGGACCTTCCACCTGGACCACACCTTGGCTGTAGAATCAAGTGGGCAGGTTGGTAAGCAAGATACTATGTTTGCTCCACTTTGTTCTTTCACTGAGCTGAGTAAGGGTTCTGTGAGCCGCCACTGCACCTTTATTTGGCACTTGGACATTGCGTGTGGTTTGTTGGCCAAAAAACAACGTGGCACACTAGTGCTTGTGCTTCCATGTTCCTTAGCATGCTGGGCTACCTACGGCCAATCTTTTCAACACAATAATGCAGCCTACCTACCTCAGACGTAAGACAAGACGACTGGCGAACAAAATTTGTTTTCACCTTGTTCCTATACATATGCAGCATGACCCTTGCACAAGGATGACGCCCACATCGTGACCTAGTGACCTAGTGGCTCAAGAGTAGAAAGGGGCCCTTTCCCTGGAAGAGCACCATGGAGGGAAGAGGGGCCCACTATGCTATGTCCTCAGCTTGGATCCCCAAGCCTAGAGAAGACCATGAACTTCGAGGACCTGAATTCGTCATTCGAGATGAGGCAGGTGGTGTGCCATGGTGGAGGGGAGGTGTGATGGATGGAGCATGGCATGGTGCAAGGTGGCCTTGGGCCAGAAGCTGTGGCTTTGAAACGGCGTTCGGGAGATGGAGCCCAAATTTCACGGCAAGCTTCGAACCTGAACTGCGCAGACATGACGAGGAAATAGATGATTGAGATGGCAGTGAACTAAATCATGAACTTTGTCCAGGCGCAGATCTTCACCACTACCAAGTAAACATTTATACATATACGTACACCTCTGAATGTGGTTCAGTTCAGGACATTGTGGACCCGAATGCTTGCTTGGCAGTCATAAACACGCTGATTTGGAATGGAATGGCCTGGATCTTGAAGACGGCTGGTTGGGATGCCATCTTGATGAAGGCGGCATCAGCTCTTACTGTGTTTATAAACTACTTATCAAACCAAAACAAACAACATACCACTGGTTTGGAAACTACTCCCAACATATGTGAGGCTCAAACCACAAAGTAAAAAAACACAATGTTTTCCAAACTAGTCCAAACATATGAAGCCCAAACCAAAAAACAAAAATGAAACATGTTTTCCAAACTAATCCAAACCTTTGTAACATAGTTTCCAAATCATTGGTCTTTTGTTTATTGTTTTCTGCCTTTAGGATTGAGCATAGTTTCCGAATCATTGTTTTTTGTTCTTTTCTGTTTCCTGGCTTTAGGGTTGAGCATAGTTTCCAGATCATTGTTTTTTGTGCTAATGCTATCCCCAGGGGCCCCCTAATCAGGAAGCACGCATACATATTTTTCTCTTCGTGTCTTTTCCTGAGCTCAATCTGACGAGGCCGTATTGGCCTTGAAACAAACCGGTAATAAAGTTTGTTGTCCTTGTCCCTCGCCACAGGGTTTTCGTAGCGCTCTGCTAGCCTGGAATTCTTGGGCCTTGACAATGGCATTGGCCTTCCATTGACTGCAGGTCACCTTGCCTCCTTGCCGCCGCATTGGGTGGCTTGGGTGGCCTAGCCACTTCACTGTGGGTGCCCACGGCCCATGCCAGCACTTGCTTTTGGCCAAGTCAAGGATCTTTTCCCGTGCAGAGTTCCGCAAAGTGCGGCCTTTGCACTTCTTGCAAACAATGTGATTTTGCTGGACCTCAAAATCATGGTTTTCCATGTCAAGGAGCGCCCCTGCCACCAGCTGACGAATCATGTCAGTCTTGGTCTGCTCACTCTGTCTGTGGCCTCCAACAATTTCTACATTTGCGCTAGCCTGGCATTGCTCGTTTTGGATTTGAGCTTCCATTGCTTAGTGATGCACTTCCTGCATTGGTTGCACTGCAGGCTGGTGCCCTTGGCTTCCCATCTGTGGCCCTGGGCTGTTCGCTGGTTGCCAATGTCAAGGAAAAGCTGAGCTTTCTTTTCTCTGGCTTGAGCCCTGTTGGCCTTCCCGGTTTCACGGGATTGGCGGAGAAAATGCTCCTTGGTTTCAAGGTGTCTGATCCTTTGCACTGCCAGCATGGCTATCTTCAGGTAGTGCTTTGGTGCAGGTTCTGGAAGAACATGATGGTTGGAGAGACATGGGTTAGTTGGTTGGCTTCTGTGGTGCTGGCCATGATTGCGAGCAACTTGCTTGAGCCTGAACCTCAACCTCATCATGCCGAGCATAGAGGAAAGGCAGAATTTGAGATGGTCCGAGGCGAAGCAGGCCTTTTTGGTGCTGAGCTTGTGTGGAGGATCGAGAGCTATGGACGAAGCCTTGGTGGAACACAAGTTGCTTGAAACAGCAGCAGGAGGAGGTACAGCAGCAGAGAAGGCTTTGACAGCACTTGGGGGTGGACGACGAGGCCAGGATGGATTTCAGGCGCAGGATTGTGAGGAAGCCGCCTCGCCAGTTGGGAGCCCAAGCATCAACCTGTGCTGGAACACACTGAAAAGCTCGATTCGCTCAATCGTTGTCCTTCGCTTGCATCATTCTCAGCGGAGGAGACAGAGAAAGAGTTCAGCGCGCGGCTATACAGCAGGTGTTTGAAGGGCAAGTGCGTGAGCCTGGTGAAACCCCATAGTGTCGAATGAGATGGTGTCAAAATGTGGCGTGCTTTGCGTCAGGAACCGCTTTGCAACATCAGAGGAGGAAGCCTGGCCTTGCATTAGCCCAGGCTCTTTCAGCCTTTCTTACAGGACAAGACGGCCATGAAGAAACCCCTTTCCTTTGAGCGCGGTCAAGGAGTTGGAGGCTATTTCATCAAGCAAGTATGCAGTATGCAGATGATCTGAAGACGGGACTTTGGTTCGATGTTGTGATGCAAAAGTATGCGAACACCTACAGGTGGCCACCAGTGACAAAACCACGTACTACGAGACCAAGCAGAGCATCCTTGGTTATGATCGGGCCATGAAGGCTTGACCAGCTAATCAAGTCCTTGGATCATGATCAAGGTGGGTTAGAATGATTAGACGCTTTTGGCAGCCTTGTTGGTGGGAGGAGAAATCACTGAGAACGTCTATGAGCTGGAAAAGATGGCTGAGGAGTTGTAAGGAGAAGTTGGCTGCAATTCCACGAGAAAGATGGGAGATTGGAGACATGGTGTTGCCTCTGAACACACTTCTGTCAAGACTTGAGGATAGGTGCTTGGAGGAGAAGACGTTTCATTTACACTACAAGCCGCGGAGCCTTCACGGGGAATGCCAAAGGAACAACAAGGCACCTCAAAAGGTATAGAGGAGTGCGCTTGCCACTCAGATGGCTGATGTTTAGAAGAGATCGGTTCAAGTAGAGCCATGGAGAAGCGGAAGCCAAGGAGTTCTGGGCGAGTTTATCACCAATTTGGTTTTGGTGTTTTCTGTTCCCAGTTTGGTTTTTTTCTCTTCCCGCCACGGCGTTTTCCGTTCCCCCTTTTGCGGTCTTTTTTCCTGGGTGTGTGTTTTCTGTTCTCGGATTAGTGTTTACTTTGCGCTTTAATTTAGCAATGTCTTGCCTTTCTAAGCTGGTGTGATTGTCTTCCCGCTATGTCCGTTCTCGCTTCTGTTGGATGTGTGGGGTGCCTCCGTCCCGGTGTTTGTGTTTTGTCTTGTCTTGGTACGCCTGCAAGGCAATCAGACAAACGCGAAACGAAAGACACGCACGGCCAGCAAAACGCACCAACTCCATCACCAGGCTAGTCCCTTTCCACTTTTTTTGCTGAGTGGTGGTCTCATCGATTTCGTCTGTTCCCCGTGCGCTGGGGGAGGTGCCAGGGTGAGAAATTCCACCCTAAAAAAGCTGGAGAGGGTCCGCCGTATATGCCCGCCAAGCAATCCGACGGGAAACACCCACGCAGAAGCAAAAAGCTGTCTGCCAAGCAACGCCGCCGGGAGGGAAGACACTTTTTCTTGGCTCGGTGTTTTCTGGGAAAGTAAGACATTCCTAAAGTGGCACGAGGAACCACCAAACTTGGAAAAAACACCCAACCCAAATCTCCTACTAGGAAGGGAAAAGCTGTGCGCGCAGGATATGGAAACACCGTGGGAAGGGAAAGCACCGAACCAGGCACTCCACGGCTTAAGTTACGCTAGCAGGAACGGAAAACACTGTGGGAAAGGAAAACGCCAAACCAGGAACAAAAAACCGGAGCCCTTAGATTTCCTTGGTCATTTTGGCTATGTCGACAGTGTTGAAATTGCTTTCGAACCGGTTTTGCAAGCAGCAGCTCGTAGCACGGAAATCTTGCAGCAGCTTGGCAAAGAGCACGACAAAGGACGGACAGCTTTAGCAGAAGGATCTATGCACGCGGTGCGCGATGAATCCGTGGAGGACAAGCTGAGGCGTGTACCACACAGCCGCGGTTTACTTCATGGGGTCTGGCTGTTGAACCGTTTCCATACAAGCAGCGCTGCTGGAGTCACATCATTTCAAAGCCTTTGAGGACGCACATACAAGGGCAAGCTGTGTCATTGGGAATTGTAAAGCGCGGCATCTCAGACAGGTTTGCGTTCCAAAAGTGAATGCTTTCCTGGACCTAGAATTTGTGACTGCACGGCTTTAAGCCGTTAAGTATGAAATTTTCGCGACGGATCCATGAATTGAAGACTTCACTCATGTTAGTTGGAATTCCTTTGATTGAACTGCTTCCGCTCACTGCCCGTCAGTTGAGCTTTGGGGCACTTGTGGTTGCGGCGGTGGAACTCGTCTATGATGTAGCGATTCACCTTCTTGAAGCTTTTCTTGAGGGATTTGCGGCGCAAGATGTACTCTTGAAAATGGCAAGCGTCGTCGTGATTGATACAGACCTTTTTGAAAGACATTGCTGCTTGGGCAACTTCCACTTTGTCTGCACAAGTCTCATTGATCCCAGGATCCGGCGGGTCTCCGGGTCAATGACAAATTGCCACCCAGCCGTCCGATTTGTCTGTTCACACAAGACCTTTGTTCTGGGCCAGGCTTTTCCGGTCGACCACATACACGGACTGCGCGCCCTTTCTCTCCAGTCGTCATTCAATCTAGTGACCGTCAAAGCTGAGGATCTTCACTTTGTCAGGCGTTGGAAAAGTCATGTCTGGCGCCCCAACCCATGGAAGTCAATGTCTTCCTGATGATCATAGATGAATCTCGAAGCAGTGGACCAGAGGCTGGTTTCTGGTGTGACATTGGGTGGAGTCGTGCGACGTGTGAGCCCGTCGACAATCTCCTTCAGGTCTTCGTAGCTAAGGTCTTCGCCAGCTACAGCCATGACCAAAGATCAGGATGGCACGATTGACTGAAGTGCAGAAGACTACCCAGAGCAGCTCTCAGAAGGCGATTGAAGAATTTCAGACGAGTGTAAATTTTGTTTTGATAATCATCTTATGCCAATATTGAGAAGATGGTCCAAACTCAGCGTTCATTCAATAGTCCGTTACAATAGATAGGACTGTGAGTATGGGCATTTCATCTTGCAAGGGTTCCTTGCTGCTGTTTAAAAATGTTATTTTCTTGAAAAAATACATGCTCACAGCGCCCCCCCTCTCAAGACATGATAATACGAGTGCACACCGCAAATCTCGCAAACACTGTAAAAACACGCAAGGCGCAAGTCTCTAAACCGACAAAAACACACGCAAACCTGTAGATCCGCGTAAACCCATACACATGCATAAACCCGCGTAAGCCCGTAGACCCGCGCAGTCAAATTCAAAAACATGTCCCGTCGCACTTCAGAGGCAAACGGAAGGGTAGTGCACAGAAAGGGTTTTGCAAAAACCTATTCTACTAACATCGTGGAAGGCGTGGGACAGAACCCAAGGCTATTCGTGGACAGTTCGTGGAATGGTGGGCCAGTAGGAGAACTGACTGCAACGAAATTCCAGAAACCTTCGCAGAACTTCGTGGACGGTTTTTAATGCACTAACTTCGTATAAGCGATTTTTGCTGACCCCCTTTCTCCACACACCCTCCATTTAGCCTTCAGCACTGGCACGCTTTCTTTCTCATTCATGGACCATCCCTACCCTCTTAAGCTACTGCCGGGAGGGCGGACCGCAAAAAAATAAGTTACATTTTAGGGTACCCCCCTAGGGGGCCAAAAAATGCAAGTTACCACCCCCAGGCACCATCGAAACGGGTAAGGGGTGGGGGGGGTGAGGGGGGCAAAAACATGTAACCTGTTGCCTGGACGTGCTTATGTATATTTTACAACCTCCCCCTAGAGGGGTCGGCAGATAGAAGGGAGGGAGGGGGTCTGGAAAATGTAACTTACGACCTGGGAGGCCTGAACTTACTTTTTAACCCCCCCCCAAGGGTGCGTTGGCAGATCGAAGGGATGTGTGGGGGATATGTCAGACTGTGGCAAGTATGAGATCTGCAAGTCAACTTTTGGAATCACGAAAGGTGAGATTTGCAGACGTCAAAGATTGTAACTTACAATTAGTCCACGCATCCAAACCCTCAGATTTTACAGGGGGTACATGGGTTATGTGAGAAAGTTTGACCTTCACAAATCGTAACTTACATTTTTGCCACGCACCCAACTGAATTTACAAGGAACTGGGGTGTCCCCCTGAGTTATATGCTTACATTTTAGATCATTTTAGCATACTGAAAATCACACACGTCCGACGCCGCGAAGCACAAGCAGGGGGCAAGAGACCAGGGGATCAAACAGCTTCCAAAGTTCAACAGCCGAAAGGCCAACTCTGACAGAAACCGCTCCCGGGGCACCGTTCCCTCCCCCGTTAAGGGAATAGACACAGGGACAGGGGGAGAGGAGAAAAAGTAGAAAAAGTAGCTAGTTAATTTATAATTTTTAGATAGTTTCCTGGTCATATTCCTCCAGTTCCTCTCTTCCCTTGATGTTTGAAGAGTTTTGAGAGCATTTCTTAAAATGTGGAATTTGTGCGTGTGGGACACGGTCTTCCCGAGGACTTTTTCGTGTAGTTTTGTTATTGTTATGTTTTCGCTTTGGGTTTCGCCCATTTTGGTGGCCTAACGGAAATGAGTGTGTCTGGCAGCAAGATTCAGGGGGGCGATGGGGGGGGGTCCAAAAATGTAAGCGCGCCACCGTGCCTCAAAAATGTAACTTACATTTTTGAGGTCATTCCCCGGGAAATCACCCATGAGGCCTCAAAAATGTAAGTTACCTTTTTTGAGGCCACCTCAAGGTTAATGTAATTACATTTTTGAGGCCCTCCGCATAGGAAAATGTAACTTACAATTTTCGACGTCCCCCCTCAGGAAAGGGTAGTGATCATGGACCCATTGCTGGCAGAAAGCTGCAGTCAACCCAAAAGATCAACTCCGCAAGGCAGAGTCTTGGTTGGAGAGGTTTCCATCCTTCCGAATTTGTGCGCAGGGGGTTCTTGTATGACAGAGCGGCGTGCATAAAGGAATAAGGTACAAGCAGATGACAATGTCAACATTTTGGGCCGCGTGTTTCTCCACAATGAGATGTTTGTTCTCCTACCTTTGATTCTGTTCCTGGTTGTGGGCAACCGTCGACGTCAACGACAACCAGCGAACGGAGCACCCAAACAGCTGTACAGTAGCCTTTGGCCGCCGTCGGCCGCAATGCACCCGATTTCTGTCCAGTTCATAAACAGACATGGAACGACACAATGGCCAGTTGAACTGGGTAAACATTGTGCTGAACACGTCGAAAATTAAAGCGGTTGCTAATGTTTTTTTGTAAGGCAGCGTCTAATAGTAGACTTTGCTTGACAAAGGGGATCTTGCCTCATGCCTCATGAATCGGTCTCCATGAATCTACGCGTACGTGTGCATGCCTGCCGCATTTCTTAAAACCAAAAAGTTATGGTTGCCCTCTCCCTCTCTCTCGCCTGCTCTCTTGCGGAGCTGCTCAAAACCGATTGGCTGTTCTTGGGCACTGCTGCTTCACCCACATCCACCCACTTTCACGGCGAGTTGTTCTCTTTTTCCTGCTTGCTCAAAGCTTGAAGTGCAGTTGCGCTCCACAAGTTTGGAGTGTAGGAGGCGGGGGACTATGACATGCTTCTGGCCCAGGCGTGGCGTGTTGAGCATTGCAAGTCCTTTGAAGTTTTTGAGTTGTTCATAGCTCAGGTGACCAAGGCAAAGCAAGCTGGAGTTGATCGGTTTTGGGCCTAACGAGAGCGGAACAAAACCATCAGCCCTAGCAGCAATGAAACTGAGGGAGCAGATCGAGGAAGCTGAAGATAGGCCCTAAGTCATCACTAGCACTGCACGGGCGGGCACAGCATTGCACCAGGTTTGTTCTTGTGTTGTTGCACAGTGTCACATTGTTTGTCATTCTGTCCTGGGGGCAGTGTTCATGCGGTGTATACATGGCGCAGACTGAATGGACTGCGAAAGCTGGGGAAGCATGTCAACTGTGGTTGTGACAAGGAGAACCCATTGCCGCATTCCGTGTTTAAATGCGTCCAATTAATTAGTGTGACGCCTTCACGTATGTCAGGAGAGTTTGAGGTTGATGATGCAGTGGGACAAGGCTGGGTGTCCTTACTCCAGTTGGCCACTGATAACTGGTTTGAACTCCGCCTATCTTGGCATTTGAGGTCCTGGATGGTGTAGAATTAAAGATGCTCTATGATGGCATCATACTTGTTTTTTTTCATATTTGTTTCCTTGCAACAGTTGATTGCTCAGCATACTTTTTTGATTCAGGTGACTCGGTGCAGCGATGTGTTGCCCACTGATGCATGCAAAGCCGCAACCTGTGTTGAACTTGACATTGCAGCCGATGTTTCTGTTTACCATTGCTTACCCAATGTTTTATCATGTGTTTCTTTACGGGTGAAGTTGACGCTTTGGTCGCATCCATCAGGTTCCTGAGTGCCCATGCAACCAGGAGGCTTGTGGCGAGGCAAGGTAAATGCTGGATGTATTCATGTTTGACGTGTATTGTTTTGTGACTCAATCGCTTAGCTTTCTTTCAGACATCTTTTTGTTGAACGATGTTGCCTGTTTGCATTGGACGTTGGGAACCTGTATCGTTTCCAATTGAGGTCCTTCAAGTTTTGCCCAATGCTGTGCAGAGCTGCTTGAAAGACTTTGGCCCGGAGGCCAGTTAGTTCTTGTACCACATATGAGTTTGATGTCAGGTCAGCTGGAGATTGAAATTGTACAATCAAGCTTTTTCAAACCGGTGTTGAGCTTACTCCTGTTAGCTCAATCGGCTCAAGAAACGATGCCGCGCCAATGCTGGTATTGGACGGGGGTACCAGGGAGTTGCCACCATGGTGACCACTGCTATTTCACACACGTGACATGTCAACAGTGGGAGCGTGACTTGGCTTAAGGGCAGAACACACAGTTGGAGCATCAATGTGATTCACATCCTTAAGTCTAAGGTGACACCAGGCGAACCTGCCGAAATTGGACAGGTCGACCGGGCAGCTGTCGCTGGGGTGAAAAATGCCATTTCTACCACAGCAAAGAAACCTCCTCTGCGTCAGACTCACGGAGGGACACACGGATCGAGCATGACAGCAACCTGCCGGAATGTTGTATTTGCTGGGAAGCGCCACGAGCAGAGAAGTATGGTTTGCTTGAAGGTTGCAACTCGCCTGAATCGTGCACACTGTGTTCTGTGCACTTTACACCATATTGTCAATGTCAAGTTTGCTCCAAGTGTGTTTTGGCCTGATATGCTGAAGTACACGCATCTGACTGAGGTGATCACGTGATGTGCATGCCCTGTGTCATGTCATGGCGAAAAAGCAAGGCAGTGTCCAGGGAAGCTCGGCTGGGTTGCCCAATCTGTCGTGTGGACTCTCAGATGCAAAAGGCAACAAGTTTCTGCCCTAAAATCTGCTTGTGGGGTTGCCTTAATGTATTTTTGGGGGTCTATGAGTCTATGATAGCATCATAATGATTGCGTTTGCATTCCTTCCAAGTGTGAAGGTGAGCTACATCGTTGTTCCTTGGCCCACGCCCGCCACTGGCGACGAAAAACTTGGTGTTTTTGCACAACACCGAGAGCGCTGTAGGGCTACGCCCTGCAAGTGGTCGAACCGTGGCCTTCCCTGCCCTGCAGGGAAGGAGTGTCTTTATGATCACAGTGCAGCACCCCAAGTACCTCCACACAGCGAGGATGTCCATCGTCTTGAGGAGTTGGAGGAAATGCTGGACAATGATATGCTGGGCATATTGATGCAGATCGTCCAAGGTCAAGGAAATGTTGGCTTGTCAGATTTAGATGACCAAGCCCTCGAGTTCCTCAGAATTATACTTGAGGAAGCAATTCATCGGCAGTCAGACAGTGAAGATAGGTGAAAGTGTGAATACATGTGAATACTTTAGTGAACTGTGCGGCATGCCCTTGCGAACAATATGTTGCAAGGTGTGTACTGTAGATGTTGAACATGTGCAGTGATAGGTCGAAATGGCAAATCTTCACTACGTCCAAATCTGTATTGCAAACTTGTGATTCTCGGAAGGGCACAGTAGGTTAATGTAGGTCACATATGAAGCATTGGGAGAACTGCCTGCCAGGGTGACAGAGAACTCTTTGAAGAGCTCGCAGGTTCTGCACTTGCAGTAGAAGAAGGCCACAGACTAGTCTGAAGTTGTTTGCTTGTTGGTTGGCACCATTTGTGCAAATCTACCCCTGGACCTAGGCTCTGTGTGGAAAGCCGGCGGCAAGTTGATTTTCAGCGCTTTCGATCGGAACCAGTTGCTCGGCAAGCTTTTGAGCATTTTGACAGCTCTTTTCGGCAAGCCGATGACTGCTGATGACTTCTGCTCAGGTCTGTTCAGGCTTTGACGAGGATGTTGAACAATGCTGGAAGGATGGTGAAAGTGTTGAACATAGCGTCAATAGGCTATTAGGTTGGAGGCCATCGCTACTAGGTTGGAGGCCGCTATTAGGTTGGACATGTTTGGACGTAGCATGGCCTTAGCACAATCGCGTCATCGCGTCCCGCATCGCTTCCCAGAACGCGGTGCGTAAAGCTGCTGCTGCAGATGGTGAAGCAGAGCACTTAGCGACAACAATGGGTCCGTGGGATACTCTGCGGAGTGGTCAAGGCACAGCGAGGCGGAGTATGGCGGCTATGCTTTCAGCCCAGACTGTGTAAAGTAACATGGGATATTGATATCTCTTCAGTTTTCCTCATATGTGTGCCACACTTGTGAGGTTACTGCAATTCAAGTGAATTTCCATCCAAATGGACCGCATCTGAGCTTTGCTGACCAATGTGACATGATATGGGTGTCATGTGAATCTACAATCTACAGGTGCCAATGGTTTCAGAATGAGGCGAATCCTTCCACGCGCAGCACCGTGACATTTACAGCGCAAAGCAACGTGCAGGCAAGGCGGCCAAAAAATGCTCAGACTTTTGCAGTTGGCAAACTTGCCACGTTTTCAGGGCCTAGTTGCACATGCACTTTCAAGAAGTGCGTTGGCACTGTTTGCTACACCGTCGGCTCCAGTCGCCAATGCCTGCCGGAAGCTTTGACACTGAGCTGATTCAGCCAGCTACATGCATGATGTTCGACAGACAAGGCTCTAGCATGTTTGAGTCCTCAGCTGGCATTTCGGAAGCAAAACCACCTACCAAGATTGGAGACCATGACGGATGTGTTTTCAGCAATAAAGCCCTGTGGCGCTCGCCTTGGACGCCGGTGCCGGTAGTAGGAAAAGACAACAAGTAGTGAAGAGTGGGAAGTTTCAATGAAGGACGAGTTCGACAGATGGTGGCCCTTAAAGTCTTGAGGATGGCTAGCTTTCATGAGCTTTCATGCTTGGTCCCATTTGAATGAGCACATGCAACTATAGGTAGTGTAGGTTGGATTCGGTCCAAGAGATTTCTAGAGCAAGCCTCGTCAGTTGGGGATTCTTCTACACACGAGGTGCGAGTTGTACTGGTCGACGGGAGCGCCGTTGGCTTCACAGTCAGGGGCTTTTCACTGAAAGCCGAAACATCAAGGCGTGTTTGTCATCCCTTAGCTTGGAAGTTGAGGTGGTGACGCCATGTATTTCAACGAAGCATGGAACGCCAAGTTCTTGGCAGATTTCCTGATTTCGTTGACAATTTGAGCATCAAGATTAGGCCATCCCAAAAACATCACGCAACTGATGCTGTAGCGTTTTCATTTCGCTTCTGAGGCCAATCACACTCATGGAATTCCAGCCATAGAGAACGGCCAAGCACTAAGGCGGAAAGAAGATGAAAGGTGTAATGTATGTACAAAGTTAGAGGCAACGTTTAGGACAAAGAACAAACGAAGATTGTTTTGTCACTTTTAGGACCTTTAGACCGTTTTTTTGGTTTCTTCCCTCATGTGCAACAGCCTGCGGGATTTGATGACTGAGGGCAAGAAATTGGCCCACGTATATCTATTGCCTTTCTTCTCGGAGCTGAGGACTGTTGAACCTATTGTGTGACCACAAGGTCTTAAATGGACTCAGTAAAGCCATCCAGAAGTCCTCCAAGTTACACGACTTTGCGTTCTGAGGTAAGGCTGATATATGATCACGAATCACGATGAAGACTTAATGATGTCGAACATGTTTGAAAGGAATCCCGGAGCCTGATGAACAAAGTCCCTTTGCCAAATGAGGTTCCGTGACATGGAGCAATCTGGGGAAATTCCCTGCTGTAGCTCTGTAGGCCCTGAAAGGAAAGTCGTTAAGCAGCTACGTAGTAGCTATTATATTGTAGCTCAATCTGCACCTCCAAAGGAGCTGCAAATTCTCGCAGTGCTGTCATAGCACCGCTTACTTCTTGACAGCTTCATTAGAAGCAGGTCTCCTGAAATCTGGAAAGCACAGATGCATCTACCCATCACTTGCCTCAACCTGCCGCTGTGTTCACACGTCCACTGTTCAGCGACATTTGACTTTGCTTTGGTTGGCTCGCATTGGCTCAAAAGAGCTTCAACAAGCTGTAGATAGCTTGGGCAGACCTTGATATTTCGCGTTATCTTTCCACTTCCTTACCGTTTGGTCTGTTTGATGGCCAGGATCCTGATTGCAGTGTTGTTTCAAATTCTCGTCGAAGGCGCATGCGGTGCACTTGGTACATGCGATGATCGGACGCAGACATCCGTTGGTCGGAAGTTGCTGCAGACAGCCGTCACACAGACCTCAGAGACAGCTGAGACCGAGCTGACTGACTTCAACTTGAGCGACCGACTTCAATCGAAAGCCGCGCTGATCCAACGTGCTCGTGGCAGCCATCGCCATGCGGCGAAAAGCTTGGACACCGCTGTGGCTTCAAAGGCTTTTGATTGGGTGGACGATGTTGTTGATGCCGTGGTGGATGCAGCCAACACGGTGGCCGACTATGGAGCTCAAATTGGTAACGAGCTTGCAGATGTGGGCATGAGTGTCGGCAGTGTGGCTGGGAACTTGGCCTTGGTGATTGGCAAATCTATCGTGCGCACAGCAGAGCAAAGTTACAAGGCGGTCCCCAGTCAGATCAAAGCGGCTGCTGGCTCGTTGGGCAGCGCCGTGCTAAGCACTGGAGCTCTAGTGGCAAGTGTTGGGCAGGCTGCGGCCAAGGCTACCGCTAAGCTTTCGCAACAGGGACTGCAGATTGCACAGCACAGCCTGGAGCAAGGTG